TGGATTTGCTATCTTACCCGGGACTGTTTCACACTGCAGTGGCAGGCATTGGATCCCCTGCCCAGGGATTCACCCAGTACAGCTGGATGAGGAGAGGTGTCATATGGGGTTTGGGATGGTACTACAGGAGATGCTGGCTAGCTCTACAGAAGAGAAACTTTGCTGTAAAGACTTGTACGTAGTTGATAAGGAGTTTTGTCCTCCGTTCCCATTTCCCTTGGGCATCTTATACACCCCTTACCCTATCCAAGTTCTAAATTCCCTAATAAAACTTTAAAACAAAGCTCAAGGACTGGTTTCTGTCTCCTAATGCAAGGCTGAATGAGGAAATGCATGATGCCTGGTTGTGCAGGACTATAGGGGGACCCGAATCTCTTGCAACTCCTAAGGGGGTAGTGCTACAAATTCATAACCTTTTCTGCCAGTGACTGAATAAGGATGACTATTTTATTAGTTTTAGTAGATGGTACTTTGTGGGGATAAAACATATGAGAAGATGATAAGGATTGATTTGAGTCTGATTTGGCATTCATCTCCAATAAGTGTATCCCTGTAGCACAGAAAAATTAGATGTGTGCATTGTGCATATGTGTTTTAGTTGAGACCACTGTCATCCATCATCTCTTGATGTGTTACGGATGCAAAAAAACTACATTTTCTACCACCCCACCGCACGGTCCTATCCAGAGCAAGACAAAAAAAAGGTAAAAGGTAAATAAATAAAGATAATAAAAGATAGGTCTGCATTCACCAGGAAAAAACATATTCCTGATCCCCAGAGACAACTGGATAATCCCCTTGAATACACAGTATGTTTTTTTTTTTTTAAAGTAGCCTTTTTATATTGATTGCTTTTAGAAATACCCCTTGTAATGAATCAATTCTAGAATAAGTTCCAGTGAAGACTATTCCATAGTTTCCATTTTACCATTTAAAGTGTTACTAAACCCACAACAGTAAAATCAGTCTGTATATGCAGTAAAGCATGCTTGATATACTCACTGTGGAACCTAAGGGGTTAATCCTCTTCATTGTGTAAAAATGCTATTTGATCCTGTCTTCTCTGATCCTCCCCTTCTTCCAGTGCCCCCCTCTTATCTCCTAATAAGACATATCATGGAGGTACTCTGCACATGCTCAGTTTGGTGTGTTTTGCTAGAGGGTTGTTGTTGTTTTTTCTTGGGAGAGTGCGTCTGATCAGCACAGGGCCAATCAGCACTGTCCAGACAGAGGTCCGTGGTTCTGCATCCTTCTAGAGCAGAACGAAAACTCCTCCTACAAGCTTTATCCAGTACTCAGCTGGACACTAATAGAAGTCACAGCTCTAACTGCTGATGAGAAAAGATATTTAGCAGTTTATATTTACTAAAATAATTTCCATGTTCTGTGTACTGCAGGAGACCGGATATAGTGAATGCAGGATCTTGGGTTTAATACCACTTTAAACCAGCTTCTTCCAAATTATAAAGGATCCCTGTATTGTAAGATACTTATATGTTATCTTAGTCTCTTCTATCCCCATAAAGCCTAACTCTGGACAGCAATAAATAATTAAAGCCTAATTCCAGGAAACAATAAAATAATTGACACTCAATTCCAGTCTCCATGCCCCCCACCCCACCCACCCCCTTTATGGTTCCCCCCCCCATTTGTAAATAATGAGGGTTTTTTTTCACTTTGCTTACCATTTACTGATGTCTTATGGCTGGTGATTTAGACATAAAGGGATCTTCTCTTAGGTCTTCTGGCGGTGGGCAACCTTGGTTGATCCAGGGAGCTGCACTGATGTTATAACAGCAATAAAATGTGAGTGCAAGGTGCCATGGCCAGGAGTCAGCACCGTGACACTCCAAATCCACAGTTTTTTTAATTGGAGATATGGAATACTGAGAGATTTTTATGGAGCAGAAGGGGTATTGTAGAGGAGAGTTCTAGATTAAAGATGAGCATTGAAACTAGAGCTACTGTTTTATTTACATTGGCCATGGTGCATTTAGAAAATAATAGACTGATGCTCCCCTCAGATCTGATGAGGACTATACTGCTCAATTTCTAGGTGATGACCTAGAACACCATAACCCACATGAGTGTTTCCCTGAAGCCGCTTTCCTTGCTGGTCTTCAACCAGTCTTGTCACTGCCTCACTTACTGATGTCATTAGACACAGAGCAGGACCAGCGGCCACAACCCATGCTGATGATGTGGCTGCAGGCCCTACACTGGACCTGATGACATACTGTAGGAGCAACATTCACAGCAAAAAAACAACAGCTGTTGGGGGACCATGGTTTAAGGTATTCTGTTTTAGATCTCCCCAAGTAAATGAGCAATAAAGTTTTCATCATCTGGGTGGATTATTGAGGGGTGACAATTTTAATTATTTTTACTGCATGAAAAAAAGCTTTAAAAAAGCAGTCTCATACATGACCTGGAAACTCCTGTTGGTGTGGGAAACAGGAAAAGAGGATGTGTTCTATTCCATCTGGACCATATTCTGACACTTCTGAATTCCATTCATGGGTCGCCAGCGATGCCAACCCTCCTGTGGTGTAGCCATGGTGGAGCGAATACACCATCGTTTGTTTCTTTCTCTCCCTCTACTGCTCTATACTTGTTTCCTTTTTTCTCTTTTTTTCTCTGCGCATCCCTCTCTATTATTACCATATCACCTGATACATTTATCATCTCTTCCATATAATCTGAGACATGTTCCCATAATCTCTGATTTCTATGTGTTCCTCTGGGGCCAAAGAGCCCGACAACCACTTACTCTTCTATGCTTACAACACCTCTTCTATTTTGGGTGTTCTACATTCTCACCTAATTTCGTTGATTCATGTCAATAAAACCTGTATGTATCATAATCTCACTACAGCAAAATGTTGTTCGGATATTTGTATGCAATATCTCACCCTTCTTTGTTACCTGTTTATTTTACTTGTATTTTGTTGTAATCCATGTTTCTAAAATGTTCAATAAACTCAGATTGAACTAAAAAAGCAGTCTCTACAAAACGTTCACTCAATCCCCCAGTTAACCAAATGCATGTTCCTTACATGTTTACCAGCAGCCAGCAGCTCTATCACAAAGCCCTGCAGCACTGGCTGTTCATTTATAATAGTATAAGAAGATTCAGATTAGAAAGGGGGTGTGGAGGGGGTCAGTGCTGGCTGTACCCCCCCCCCCCCATAGTAATGGCCATAATTTGGGCTTCAGACTAAGGTGGAACTACAGCCAGTATTAACAGAAATAATGCATATTTGGGACACCCACTTGGGGATTAAATAAAAGTTTAGGAAGAGTCTTTAGGTGGTAAATGGTAACAGATGTCTCCTTTTTTTTTTTCTTTATTATCAAAGGAAAAAGGAAATCTGTCCCAAAGAGTAAAAAAAAATTTTTTTTAGATATAGCTGTATATTTCGTGCTACAACCATAACCTACGACCAAAGAACAATCCAAAATAAATTCTCCTGCTGGTGATCGTAGTGATACCTCAAATGTGTATGTTCTTTCTTGGTTGTACCCTTAGTAGGGCCCAGAAAAATAGTGCACATTTTGATTTTTTATCCTACCTTAAACATAATGACACTGATACTAATTTGAAAAAGGCATTTTTTTTTAATTCTACCTAAAATATACTGACCTTGACCTTTGATGCTGACCTTGACCTTTGACCCTTACCTTGACCTTAACACAAAGCCTAATACTGACCTAAATCAAGCAATTTTTGTCTTTATGTTATAATTTTTTTTTTATTTGTACACACTTTGGTTTGTTTACAACTTTCTTCCCTGTGAGGAGAGAGAGAGATACAATGTATCTTTCTCTCCATTCAGAAGAGAAATAAAATACATGGGTGTGCTTCACAGTGACTGATCACCATGATAGTCAATCAGAGGCTATCACAGTGATCAGGTGACTGGGAACTGGGAGTCTTGGCTCCCGATGCACGCTCCCAGTACAAACACAAGAACACATATATGCGGCACCCAGGTTTGAAACTCAACTCCAGGACGCTGCATATATGCGTTACTGTGTCGGTATGGGGTTAAAGCCAATTTCTTCTATTCTTTTACTAATATCTGCTTTTCGAGTTGTAGGGCATAATTTTTGTGAACCAGTGCACAAAACTAAATTACATTAGAGACTATAGTAATGGCTTGTATAGAAACTGCAGATTAGCATTGCATGTAATTTAGAGGGATACCCAGATCCTTCTTTATCATTGATTCAATTTAATCACCCCTAGACCATATGATGTATTCATGTATTAACCCTCAAGTAGTATATTTTTAGATTTATCCACACTGCTAGTTTTGCTATGCAGTTGCCTAATTACCCAGTGCATCAAGGTCAAATCAGTGAGTCTAGCTCATCTAGTAAATTGGAGACATTTGCAGGGAATGAAGATTGTTATGTGTACCATATTGGTCTTCAGTTGACCTCCTTGAGCATTCTGTTTAGCTGGTGAAGAACTAGAGTGACATGAATTACAACAGTTTGTATGCTAATTCACATGGATGTATGAAGTGCTATTTAGAGGCACATTGCTTTCGGGGATGACCCAGCTATGCACAAGTACCCACCATATTCTCCAGATACAAATATGTCAAGCGCTCAAGCATGACCATGAGAATTTTTTACCTACAGTCATTGCAGGAAGCTCCATTGAATAGGTGACTGAGATTGGGCATGCTTGGAATGTGTGGCAAAAACAGGAGACAACATATACATGTCTATCAATATATACAAATTGTACTTCAGATTATTATCAGCTATTCAGAGATTTCTTAACTGATGTTAGCAACAAAAAGGTCCACATTTTAGTATACTAGATTTAAAAACATGGCTGACTGTCACGTGATAGTTTAAACATATATTTTACAGAGCCATGTAATTATAGACTAATGTATAATCACTCAGATGTGAACTAAATAGTCAAATACCACGCTTTCTTTAACAACGCCAAAAACACTATGACAGTTGTAAAATCCAACCACTTATAGCCAAGATTTCTTCCCCTTGGGCATTTTGGCTATATTACAGTGTTTAGTATCTGGGCTCCTCCTTGAGGTAGTATCATCGGTGTCATCATTTGTGAAGGAAATTGTGTTTACAGGTGGAGAAGGTAGGCAGCCAATTTTCTCTGTGGAAAGGCTTGCTGAGGTCTTCAGGACAAACCGTTCTTGTATAGTGTCCTTTAGATGTATAAGTAGACTGTTCTGCTCAGGATGCAGCACCATGGGCCTCTTTTTCTTCCTGCTCTTGAATTCACAACAGGTATTGCAAGCAACTGTTAAGATTCTAAATACATAAAACCAGCCCAGGTAATGCAGCTCCACAATGTTCAAAATAAAACAACCAAGACCAACTCCAAACATGAAGTTAAGAAATACTGTCTTCTCAGTAGCTCTGGAGACAAAACAGTCTGTTGTGGTGGGACAAGGGTAGGTGTGACACTGGAAAAGATGAGGTACTTCAAAGCCATAAAGGTAGAATTGACCAACTAAGAACACCACTTCCATAATTGACCTGAGCACCACGTGGACAATGTAAATAACATGCATCTTGTCAAACACAGGAATGGGAGCACGCACAGGATCATTAGCAAATTTTGGCTTGAACCTCTCTCCTTTTTTGGATAAGTCTTTAACCTCCACCTGCTCATCTGCATCTGAACTTTTGTTGGTTTTCAGGAAATGTTCACCAATGGATAAACTTTGAAGAAGTTCCATGATGTAGGCCCTTTCTAGCTCAGTCTTCTCATCTTTAGCAATTTTGTGCAGTACATAAATTATGTAAAAAATGGAAGGTGTGGACACTAGAACAATCTGAAAGATCCAAAATCTAAGATGTGAAACCGGGGCAAAGCTATCATAACATACATTGTTGCATCCAGGTTGAAGGGTATTGCAAGTGAATTTAGACTGTTCATCACCATACATTGCATCTCCTACCAGTGTTACCAAGAGGATTCGGAATATCAGGAGCATTGTCAGCCATATTTTTCCAATTACTGTTGAATGGTTTTGGACCTCCGTTAGTAGACGCCCCAAGATAGACCAGTCTCCCATTCTGGAACCTATAATAAGGATCAGAAAACTTACTAGTAAGGGTTTTTTCTCAAATAGAAAACTAGAATTTAATGTAGAGTTACTACAGAGCTGTAAATGTCCAGAAAGGGCCAATTCATATATGGTCACTATGGTCAAGTGATTTTATTGGGCATGTCTATGCACGTTTTGAAAAAAAAAAAAAAAAAAAACATGTGGCATAATCACTTTGTGCAAGTGTAAATGAGAGCTAACTAGTAAATGTGGTTGGCTTTTACTATATTAAACTTCTGTAGCTCACCTTCTTTTGAAAATACTTGTTGCCTTGCTCGTCTGTGCCTTAAGCCTTCGATGTGAAACAAGTATGCAGAAAGTGAAGTAAGAACGCCTTATCTGTGTAATGGTTAGGGTCTTAGAATATAAGTCATTGTTAGTAGTGGATAGCTGGTTAACAAGCATTTTCAAGGCATCTTCAGTTCAGTAGCACCTACTGGGCCACTGCATACAACAGTTTTACCATTATTTTTTGCATTGATGACAAGTAAAATTTGCAAAAAGGTTACCAGAACATATTTATAGTGAAGATGCTCAGTGAGGAGTGTTATTCAGGTACACCTAGACATTAATATCCCATACATATCTATGGTCCCTAACTCACATTCATACATGCACATACTAGGGCCAATTTAGACAGCAGCCAATTAACCTTCCAGCATGCCTTTGACAGTTCAGGTAAGTGGATAGTGTTATACACATAGATGTAAATGTTATTGGGAAATAGCAATTTTTTTGCACTCTATAGGAATATGTAGATAATCTTTCCTTACAACCTACTAAATATGCTGCTCCTATATCTTTTATAAATTCTGAGTCACTGACCCTCAGAACACATATTCAGACCAGGAAAATAAGACAAAAATCATAAAAACACATAAAAATAAAGAAAAAGTTTCTTTGGGACAAATGACATGGACATAGAACTTCACTTCATTTGCAGGTGATGCTCTAGGCTATGCAACCTCTCTCCAATAGGGAAAATCTTCTATTCTAAATACCAAAATGGAAACACAATTGTATGGCTATAAGTGTTAAGGAGTAGTCAGAACCCCAATGACTACATCAATCTATGGCACAGATGATGCATTAAGAGACTTGAGCATCACTCAAAAACAAACACCATAGCTGATGCATTTCAAGGGACATACCCTCTTCCTCAGAGCCTAGATTGTCTGCTTAATTTCACCCTATCTAAACAGTCACAGGATTGTAGTGCAGAATTGACACAGGAGCTCTCAGACTTTAAAAGCAAGGGGCAAGGGATGGGGTGCTGAAGTTACACTCAGTGAGGAGAGCTCTGACAGCTGATTGGAGGGAAGGAAGCCCACCCACCCCCCCCCCCTCCTCATTTCACACAGCTCACAGGAACGGAGATGAGGCTGTCAATCACAGGCTGTGCCCTCCCTGTCACCCTTGTTCTCTTGGTATCAGGAAAACCCATCTGAAGTGATAGCAGAGGTAGCAGACAGAAATGACACTTAATGCTCTGGATTGAGACAAGTACACACTACAGAGAGATATGCTTTGTTCATATTTCACATCTAAGGTTTACAACCACTTTAACTTCTCAGGATTAACAATCTGCTCTATTGCTGAAAAAAGAGAACCTGAGGCAACCGACATAGTGATATGATGTAATATAATAAACGCCTCCAAATGGCAATCACATATAACAACTGGTCCAGTAGTTAATATATTAACCAACTGTGATCATTAATACAAGAAGGTCTTAAAGCCACCAACTAACTGATCACTTGGTAATCGAACTGTGCTAGGTAAAATGCGGTCCACCACACACTGTAAAAGTGGATTGAACCAGAGTTTATTGACAAAAGACACTATTTGCTATTTGTACATCCCTTAAACATGCTTCATTATTAGTGGTGCTCTGGTCTCTTCATGTGACATCCATACCTGGGATTGATGCAGTCACTGGAGTTCTATGGAGTTTTTGCACTTATTATTAATAAAATTGTTTTATATTGAAGCATGAGGCTCTTGCACCCTCTATTTTTCTATTTTGTAGAAAAATCAGACACCTTAATCTGCCTTTTTGTTTCAGGACAATGATTTCAAATACTGAAGCAAGAGGATCAGCAAGACAGCCAAGTAAAGTTTAGCAATGGCATGTTGCAATAACATACACTAGATCATTAAAACACATTCTTTGTCACATTTAGCTGTGGCAGTATATATTTAGAATGACGACCCAATGCACTAATACAGTAGAATGCAATGCACTGCAGTGCAGATGCTGCGTGTTGTGATGCGCTGTATAAGAAAAATGGTCCATATCATTGGGGTGCATTTTTGGCTCCTTTCATAATTAATGGACTGCTGCAATGCATGTTAGCATATTACATACAGTAAGTAGGTGTGTGTGTTAATGCACTGCAGCAAGCCACACAAATGTGAATGAGCCCTAAAAAGTCAGCCTTTACACATTGTAGGAAACAATAATGTGAAATTCCTGATAGACTGTTCATGGGTAAGGCCCCATTCACATCTGACATTTTGGGATCTCTGGCAGAATTTCTGTGATTCTGCCTGTGATCTCAATTCTCACTGCCATAGTGTCCAAACGCACCATGTGTGTTCGAGTGCCATTCATTTTCAGCTTGGGGTCACATATATGCCTTGCAGGATGCACTGCGATTTTAATGGCCAGTGCAGTGGAATTTTGTTCATGCTGTGCAGGTGAGATTCCAATGAGAATTGTTGTGTATTAGGCCCCATGTACATGGGACACTTCTGAACAATGGAAACTGACTGCTGGAAAACGTAGGTTTAAAAACATCTGTTTAGCCGTGTTTACATACCGCATTTATGAGCGTTTGCATTTAGAAGCGTCTTTTAAAGATAACCACAGGAGAACTTACAAAATGCCCAGAATGCACTGAAAAACAGTAAAAAATTAACTATTTCAGACATTTTGAGAGAAATAGAGAGAGCAGAAGCAGAGAGAGCAGTATGTGTTGAGATTAGCTGTGTTTTTTTTTGTGGTGTTTGGATGTGTTCCAGCTCATTTCTGTGCAGAAAGTATTGCAGCAGTGTCTAACATATTTTTTTTTTTCATGCAAAACCTCAAAGTATGGTGTGCTAGGTCCATTTTAGTACCGGGAAAACGCTTTGCATGTATTTTTCACGCATCAGGAAATGGAATAGTTAAAAAAAATGTTCAAACGCAAACTCTTATAAATGCAGTTAGTTGCGTTTACACTCGTTTACAAGCATTTGGCATTTGAAACGCTGATAAAATCTACTACTGAACGCAAGTTTTCTGCGTTAAAAAAAAGACTGTAAACTCAACTGCCTGTAAACGACTGTAAACAAAGATGTGTACATGGACACATAGGAAAACATTAGGGTGAGTTCAGGGGCTGCTGAAAAAAAAAAACGCTGAACAGCTCCTAAACGTGAGTTTATCAGCTGCAGTGTACATGAGCCCTTAGTCTGGAAATCGCACCCGCACTGCAATGAAAATCGCACAGGACCACTTTTCAAAATTGCCCTGCGGCTGGCCCACATGTACTGTATGTGAATGGGCTACGTAGAAAAGTATTTTATTTCACCTGTCATGCAAATTGGTGCAAAAAACATACAAATTCACATATTGAATTCACATGTGAACCAAGGCTCAATGGCACCTAAACACTGTGCTGTTCTGCCGTGATTGTCATGTGATCAGGGGCGGACGGAACAATTGGAAACTCGGGCACTGCCCGAGGGCCCAGGGTCAGTAGGGGGCCCCTATGAGATGCCCCTGGTACCTTTTTCATAAGCTTTTTTGAGTTTGGGCAAGGACACAAGGGCCCCATGATCCCCTATTGCCCAGGGGCCCCATGAGTTGTCAGTTGGCCCCTGCATGTGATAAATCGTGGCAAGCCACTTCGCTTGAAGCTTGTTGACGAAAAGAAGCTCCTGCTCCTTGTTGGGTGACAAGCTTTGCGTGCTGCATTTTACCTCAATTGCAGTGTGATTACTTGCACAGTAGTTGCAGCAGAACTGCATCGTGTTTAGGTGCTATTTAATGAATGGCACCTGAACACAGGTGGTGCGTTTTGCCACTATTGCAGTGCATTTTGAGATTGCAAACAGAATCACAGCAATTCTGCCTAAGTGCCAGATGTGAACAGGGGCCTCAGTGAACAGCAGTGTTATGTCATCAGATATTAACAAACTCCGCACATCATCATCTTTTCTAACAAGCAGTTTTTGGTGTTTAAAATACTTTTTGAATATTTCCTACAAGATATAAAGGATATCCTAAGTGTGAACTAGCAAAATTGCTTTAACCATTTGCCTTCCAGAGGATTTACTCCTCTTCTTGAGCAGGCCATTTTTTGCGTTACGGTGCTGCGTCATTTTAACTGACAGATGCGTGGTCATGCAACACTGCACCCAAATGAAATTTACTTTCTTTTTATCCCCACAAATAGAGCTTTCTTTTGGTGGTATTTGATTGCCTGTGCGTTTTTTATTTTTTGTACTATAAAACAAAAAATCTGATAATTTTGAGAAAAAACAATATTTTTGACTTTTTACTAATAAACATGTCCAATAAAAATGTAAAAAATCAAATTTCAGCATAAATTTTGGGCAAAAAGTATTCTGCTACATGTCTTTGATAAAAAAAAAAAATCAGAATACATGTAAATTAATTGGTTTATGTGAAAGTTATAGCATCTACAAATGGCGGTATATATACTGGAATTTATTTATGTATTATTATTATTATTATACAGTATTTATAAAGCGCCAATAGTTCGCTCAGCGCTGTACATTACAAAGGGGGACAGAACATGTGACAGAACAATACCAATACAATGTGATACACGAGGAGTTCGAGGGCCCTGCTCTTTCGAGCTTACAATCTAGGAGGGAGGGGGTGGTGGCACAGGAGGAGATAGCTGTGGGGGATGGGGTGGTAGGAAGAGTGGAGGAGGTCGGCAAGTTAGCAGGGG